ATTTTAAAAAAGTAATTATCTTTTATGTTCCACCACATTTTTCGGTACTAAGGAAATATAGATATTTCTCGGTTAATAGCATATTATCTTCTAAAATGATATTATTCGTATAGTTCCATTTACCCAATAAATACATAAAATCTATATAAAACAATTTTTTCCCCTTGTCACTTTATACTCCACAAAAGGAATTTACATCATAATAAAAGTCAAAAAAAAAAAAACACTACAAATTTACATTTGAAAATAGTAAGTCAAAATGGAAAAAAAATCATGCAAAATAAAACACTACTATTGTACATTTCAAAAGTCAAAATAAAAATGCTCAAATTTAACATTTTATGCGATTTTTTTTGATTTCATCCTTTTCCGCCAAGAAACAATTCCGAATTTGTCTAAATCGTTAAAATCATGTCAGCGGTATATATATATATATATATATATATATATATATATATATATATATATATATATATATATATATATATATATATAGCAGGGATTTCCATTTCTCTGTTTGTTCTTTTCATTTTCCAGGTCAATACGAAGCCAGATATATGAGCCCTCCGTTGTCCATCCCTATGAACAGGTCCATGTTATTGACCCCAACAATTTACATATTTAAGTCGCCACTATTCGATTGTCCTTACCTTGTGGAGATTACCAAACTTGTAAAATGGAAATGATTTGATTCGACCATGCGTGTCAACGTTCATCCCATTTGGGCTAATATTAGACATTTTGTGCACAATAAACCTCAAATCGGATGAAGATATATATGGGAGCTATATCTAAAAATAATTTGATTTTCAAATTTTACAAACATATGCACAATGACAAAATCATGATCCACGGAGTGATGTAGGGTGTAAATATCTAATGAATCGCCAGCAATATCTTAAAATACAGTAGCATCATAACAAAAATACAATTATTTCTTTTGGGAAATAAAATTGTGGTCTTTCTTTTTGCCATAAATCTTATTTAAATATTCAACTAATTCATTTACCCTTCGGGGAAATTCTTTTTAGATATTTTGGGAATGTATTGTGCATTTGTACATTTTTGTGACTTGTTCCTTCTTTGTCAACGCCTTTAGAAGTCTTGGTATTAGCGGTTGCGGAGTTCGTTATTTTTCCATTCGTTTGATTTTTTTTCATTTACTTTTACCTGGACCTTCAGAAGATATTTCAGTACTGGCAGTGATGTCCGAAGAAGAAACGACTACTTTTTTCGATTTTTCCAAATTTTTAAAGGGCGTTACAATAGCTTTTGTTTTAATTGTATTTTTTGAAAAATCGATGTTACCCCCAACGTTGTAATGTTCTAGCAGGAAATAGGTTAACTGATTTAATGAGTAGCTGAACATATCCGTTGCTCCACAGTTCCAGGGTAGTATTGTCCAACAACATTCCGGAAGATGCAGTCGTCCAAATTTACATCTATCCGCCTTGCGGTACTGACATGCACACGGTACATATGTATGTTTCGCTGCCCTTTCAGACTTTCCTAAGCTAAGGTACACGATTTCTGACTGCAATCCATCCCTACAAATATAATCAGAACCAGATTAGTATACATTTAATATAAAATACCGTCACCGCAACACCAGTCCAATATGTAATATTGTTTTTCTACCAACAAAATACCAGATTTTAATTCAGTTGCCTGTGTCAATTCCATTTCCCAATTCCAATCTTCATGTAATGAATTGTTACCATTGCGGGCCTCACTTAATTTTTTTTTGTTTTGTTTTTTGTTAAAGCGTCTTTCGTTTTATTATACCCTCCACCATACTATGGAGGGTATATTAACTTTGTCATTCCGTTTCTAACTCCTCGAAATACTCATGTCAGACCCAACAAAGTGTATATATTCTTGATCAGCGTAAAATTCTAAGTCTGTCTGTCCCGATATTCATTTTGAGTTCGAAATGGATACTACAGCCTAAGGCAGAAAATTGTCTGTACAGGTCTACGTCTTCGTACAGCCCCCATATAACGGTACCTCCCTATATTCGGTATTTTGATGATTTTAGCGTCATTATTCACCGGAATGGTTCCAAATTACGTATTTAGAGTTCGTAATGCGAAATACAGTCTGTGACAGAAAATTGTCTATGCAGGTCCAGGACTTCGTACTTTTTTTTTGTTGAAAATTTAAACATTCGATCCGAATAAAATTCTATTCTATTTAACGTTGTCCAGAATTTTGATGATTTTTGACACATTTTTCCACGGATTTGTCTAAAAATTGGTATTTGTAGGCATAATGGGTTCTAGCTCCGATGCAAAAGCATAAAATATTTAGGTCCACGTTTCCTATGGGGCACGATACCCAACATTACTCGGTATTTTCATAATCTTGGTCACATTTACCTACGAAATAGTTTCAAATTTGGTATTTAAGAAGATTTGGTAGATGACAATCCTTGAAGTATACATTTGTCTATAGAGGTTCCCGTTTTGGTATTACCCCCATATAACAATCTGACCCACTTTATGGTTTTTCTTAACAGCATTATTTAAACTCCTCGAAATACTAATGTCAGACCCAACAAAGTGTATATATTCTTGATCAGCGTAAAATTCTAAGTCTGTCTGTACCGATATTCATTTTGATGATTTTAGCGACATTATTCACCGGAATTGTTTCAAATTTAGCATTCAAAGTTCGAAATGGATACTACAGCCTAAGGCAGAAAATTGTCTGTACAGGTCTACGTCTTCGTACAGCCCCCATATAACGGTACCTCCCTATATTCGGTATTTTGATGATTTTAGCGTCATTATTCACCGGAATGGTTCCAAATTACGTATTTAGAGTTCGTAATGCGAAATACAGTCTGTGACAGAAAATTGTCTATGCAGGTCCAGGACTTCGTACTTTTTTTTTGTTGAAAATTTAAACATTCGATCCGAATAAAATTCTATTCTATTTAACGTTGTCCAGAATTTTGATGATTTTTGACACATTTTTCCACGGATTTGTCTAAAAATTGGTATTTGTAGGCATAATGGGTTCTAGCTCCGATGCAAAAGCATAAAATATTTAGGTCCACGTTTCCTATGGGGCACGATACCCAACATTACTCGGTATTTTCATAATCTTGGTCACATTTACCTACGAAATAGTTTCAAATTTGGTATTTAAGAAGATTTGGTAGATGACAATCCTTGAAGTATACATTTGTCTATAGAGGTTCCCGTTTTGGTATTACCCCCATATAACAATCTGACCCACTTTATGGTTTTTCTTAACAGCATTATTCAAACGGTTTTACTGGTATTTGTAGTTCAAAGTAGAGCACGTTTGAATCTAGATACTTTTATATAAAAATGTTTTCTTTACCCAATGGTGGAGGCATGGTATAATATTGTTGCACAACAATTTGAAACAACAATCATATGAAATTTGTAGGTGTAAAGTATAAACAAATGTCTCATGAAAATGCATAATAATGTAAACTAAGACGAACAAAAAACCCCACTTTCAACAAATATTTCTATATTACCATGCTTCAATTTAAGCTTCGTTTAGTAAAAGGAGTTTCTTTGTTTTTAATTTTATTTCAATTTCATTGACAATTTAATAGCCTGTTCACAGAACTTTTGTTTAAGGCAGACAAGCAATTGCTACCCAGACAATCAAGTTTTTATTTCAGTTCATTTACTTTTTTCGTCTGTGACGTTCCGTTGGTTTTAGACGTGGCGTGTCGGTGCCCGGACTTAAGCCCCATTGTAATTGTGGGGATAATTCCCGGTTTGTTTTTGGTCATAATCCCCATAATAATGTGCGGATAGTGTCCGCTTCCAACACAGACACGACCCCCAAGGGGAGTATGACCGTTTGCTGTGTGGACTACTTACAAAAATAATTAATTTTAGTAATCTTTGATTCACGGTAGCTGGTGCAGGACACCCTTAGAGGATAAGATCTCAAGGGTATGGGTATGTCCAAAGACTTTCCCTCTGGATATTTTTGGCACCGGCTAACGCGAATCAAACATTTCTGAAATTAATTATTTTTGTACGTAGTCCACACAGCAAACGGTCACACTTTATTATTTGGATTATGGGGATTTTCACCGAAAAAAGGTCATAATCCCCATAATTGCAATGGAGATTGAGATTTGGATTTTGGATTTTCCATTTCAAATAAAAGTGTAAATGGAGGGGGCGGAAATATCAATCTAATCCGAAAAACGTTAGGTTATACCACAAACCTCGAAATATTAGTTCTAGACCCACGATTTTACATATGTATCTACCTATATCTCCGTCGATTTAGGTATGTGTGTCCGTCTGTCAATTTTTATTTGTACTCACGCTACACGTCACAATTATGACGCAAACCTCACGAAATTGGGCGTTGAGTCAGGGTTAGGGTCAGAATAAATACCTATAGGACTTGCAATGGATCAACAAGAGATTTTTCCGATTTTGTAGTCTTTCAGGTCAATTTGCTCCTAATTTTGCGTGGAAGAAGCGCACCCATTGAGATCGACACAGCACAGCGGATGAAATGGACCATACCTTTTGTGTGAAATATAAATTTTCAAACACAATGATTTACTTTGCTCAAATTTTGTGAATGAACGACTTGAAGTTAGGTGAACCAAAATTTGCCTATAGAAAAAAGCTCTCGGAAACCAAAAATTCTATTTGTCTGCCATATGCCTTACAATTGGAAGAAAAATAAGTTTGGCTATAATAATTTTTTTCTAATAACTTCCAACAAAATGCAATCACTTCTAATTACCAGTTATACGCCCACAATCAACATTTTTGAAATTTGGATTATAAAATAAAAATTCTTGAATGCAAATTTTTTACAATTTTTATTTTTACGTCATTCAACTGAATGTACATATAGTACGAAAACTAATAGGAATAACAATGCAATATGTACGTATGTTATCTCAGGGTACAATTTTGACAAGTACATTGTTTTAAGTATACCAACATTTATTGAGACCAGCGCATGCGTGGTTCTATTCTATTAACTAACGCTGGAAAACAGATATTAACTTGGCCAGTGCAGGAGTATACTGCCACAAAGACAAAAACGTTGAACTGAAACGTTTTAGATTTATTTACATTTGCTCGAGAAAATCACAGCTTTTCTCCCTTTTTTTGCAAATATATTAACTTATAGAATTTGCTACGCCGAAATTAATTTCTGAAATGGTTATTTTCGAACTTTTGGTAATAAGTGTGGTGATGGTAACCATTAGAGAGGCAAAACATGTGTCCAATCTCCATATGGAAATCCCTGAAAGGCACATGACATTGAGTGACCAATTCTTCGTTGATGTTAGAGCACTTCTTAAGCGACAAACTGTGGATGAGGTATGCATACGATAGATATTAATAAGAAGATATATATATGGTTTTGTAGATAATGGATGCGCAAAGACAGTACAAAGAAGACGATTTCGGAATGCAGAGTGGAGAAAAATCTATTGGAACGGTTGTACCCACTCCAGTTCCAACTCCAGTGCTTGTTGAAAACTGGCCCAAAACCAATCACAAACTCGGTCAAGTAACAGCTGTTTCAATTGATACCCAAGGAAAACCTGTAATTTTTCATCGTGCCGATAGGTATTGGAATGCCAAGTAAGTCCCCGATGTCATTATCAAGATTAATACTTATATATGTTTCTGTCCTACTTTAAGCTCATTTAATGATAGTCACATCTACCATATGATTGAATATGGTCCAATTAAGCAGAAAACTATATATATTCTGGACCCGAAAACTGGTGATATTATTTCAGGATGGGGTGAAGACCTCTTTTACATGCCCCACGGAATGACTATAGACACACATGGAAATTATTGGATCACTGATGTGGCTATGCATCAAGCTTTCAAAGTAAGATATTATTTTTAGGACGTCATGACAACAACTTATCTATGTTTAGAGTACATTATTTTTCTTTTCGTCCAGTTTAAGGCAAATGAAGCTAAACCTCAGTTGATAATTGGAAAACGTTTTAGGCCAGGCTCATCTTTAAAACATCTCTGCAAACCTACCTCAATAGCGGTGGCAACAACAGGAGAAGTAAGTACATTCAGGCAAAATAAAGAAAACAAGAAGGCTTTTACACTTTGTGAGAATTTAAGTATGCATATACTTAATAGAGTAGCATATGTTATTATTGAGCAGACACAAAGGATAATGAAGTTATTTAACTTTAATCTTCTACCAAAGCGTGCGGGTGTACGCATGATATTATGAAGGCAGGGCAGGATATGTTTCAGAAAGTGGTAAGAAAAGCATCATACGAATGTCAGAACTACTACCAACAAAACTACTTGTTGTGTTCCCGAACTTTTTAATGATAAAATTAGTTAAAAAGACATAGGGTAAGTGTACCAGTAGTCGGCACTTTTAGGATTTTCGATTTTTCAATCTTTCAACATTCTGAGTGAAATCTTTCAATTGCAGAAAATAAAGTTGTTCAGATTTCAAATTATATTTAGTTTTCGATATAATAAACAAAAATTGAATTTGTTTTTATTAAATTGGCAAAGTTTGCAATTTTACTAAAATAGTAGTTTTTTACCAGTAGTCGGCACCATTTTCCAATGCTCGGCATGTCTATTTGTCAGTAGTCGGCATATGGTACTTCAGTAAAAAAAAATATTTTGTATATTTTTTTTAATTCAAATAGTATAAAACAAAATTCACAGTGTAATCCAGAATTTAATAACTTAATTTCGTTTTTAAATAGTGTTTTATTTCATTATCATTCTAACTCAAAGGTAGAAAATCAAGAATAGTATGGTTACCTTCAGTAACGTATGAATTTTCAATTAAAATAAAAACGAGATTAAATAAAAAAATAAAATGTACCTTTCTTACATTTGGAATTTGTGAATCGATCTTTTTCCTTTAGATAGCCAACATTTTTTTTCAAAAATGCCAGTGCTATCTTAGACGTCAAATAGTTCATTTAAAAAACCTACTTAATTTAGAAAAGTTGGTCAAAAAGCACTAATAAAAGCAACTGCCGACTCAAAACTATTTTTTTATTTGAGTAGTTTTTGGATTATTTGTTAATACTTTTCTCAAGTTTTGGTGAAATTGGTCAAAAATTATATTTTTCTAGTAATCGGCAGCCCCTGCCGACCACTAGAAAATCGCTTTTTTTCTGTTCCTAATGTCGGCATTAAATAATATAACAGAAAAATGCTTGATTTGTATGTTTTTAAGTTATAAAATGATCTTTAGACTCTTATTTACTATTATAAAATATTTCTGATTCCAAAAGTATTAAATTTAATTTACTTAAATCGATTATTAAGTTGACGCCACCACTAATTTTACCGTTATTCTCTCGGAATAAATGATCGGAGCTCATTGTTTTTTTACAGAAAGAGAGCAGAGAACACTGTTGACGTTTTTTCGCAATTATTTCATTATTTGGTAAATTCTATTCTTAGTTATTTATGTTTAAATTTCAAAACTGCCGACTACTGGGACATGCCGAACTTAGGCGCACTTACCCTATATTACATTCGCTTTGAGAGGGCTGATTAGTGTCAGAAAGTTGTAGAAAACTAGTGTTAAAATGTCAAACATGTTACTATTTTGCTAAATTTTCAGAAAAAGTAAAGAACATGATTACGATTTCGGACATTTTTCTAATTTACCAATTTAAACTAAATGTCATAGAAACTCTGCTTCTATTTCTGATATGCAATGGATTGAGAAATATACATTTAGATATATACCATAAACCAAAGCCCAATAAGTAAGTGGGAGTGTTTTCTTACCTTATAAATATAATATCACTCAATAAATATTAATAGGACGTTGTTAAAAATTTCCTGGTGCGGGTTTTGCACCACTCGACAACTCAAGATCAAGTGACTGAATTTGGCATTCGATTTTGATTATATATTTTTACTGAAATCCATTCCATTTTAATGAAATCCAGCTTTGAGTTGTGAATTCTAGTCATCATTCGAATAGAAGGCAGAAACACCCAGTGACTGGAACCCAAGCTGGATTTCTTTCGAATAGGAATCGAACGAAGCAGAAAAGGCAGAAAAATACACGTTCGAAATATGTTTGGATCCAAGTATGTATATATTTGGGGCAACTTGCAAACAAATATATATTTGGATGCAAGCATATTATGCTTGGGTCGAAGTATATATGTGTTTGCAACATTTTGTAACATATTTAAAATTTAATTGTTTGAGTTTAAACATATTTTTTATGTTAGAACATATTTTTTAACGGGTGAGAGAAAATCTTTGTGATACAGTGCGTAACAATAGCTCTCTCACACATTTTATAACAAAGGGCTGTTTGTATTGTGCAGCAGAAGACGCAAAAGCGATGACAAGGGGGTGAAAACTTTGTTTTTGCTGCGCGGTTAAACTCTTGTGTTTTGTTATTTTTTGATGCTGTTGCGTGGAGAATGATGAAAATGTTTATAAGTGTAAAGATTGTAAGATTTTCTAAAAGAATTTTAGTTTTATTTAATTATTTGGTTCCTCTTTTATTGAGCTTACAATCACGTCACTTGGGTAAAAAAAGTTTTTTTGTCATTGAAGTTATTTTTAAAATAACTTCTGGGGAGAATATCCCAGACAAAAAACAAGGGAACTAATGAGGATTGGTGGCTTTTTCCGAAACTTAGGTATTCCCTGCCTTACCCCATGGTAAACATTACGTTTTTTTATAAAAACAACAATAAAGGGATTTGCATCCATTTTGCAACAAGAAAATACTATGAATTCAAGCATATACATACACTTGCATCTAAGCATATATTAACTTGTAGTACCCAAACATATTATATGTTTGAGACTGTAGCATACATATATATATGTTTGCTGCAAAATATGTTTGGAGACATATGTTAGAGAGGCAATTTTTTTCTCCGTGTAGAGATGAAGAAGTTTACCATATTCGGTTTATCAACTGAGTCTTTCGCCGTGATAAAAATATAATACAAAAATTTATCAGGCCATGGAAAAAACAACGTGCCATACGCTATTAGGTGTCACGCGTTATCAATAAAACAACAACCACAAGGAGATGTTTAATAACGATATAGCTATCTATTTGCAGTTTTCGTTTTATCGGTGACGTGCCACATGGGCTGGCTGGCGAGTTTATGGTATTCATTAACCCATAAACGACAAGTTGGTATACTGTAAAGGAAAAAATAGTTCTATGTCACTTTTACAATCGTCACTTTTTTCCGACAAAATTTATAAATTTGGGACTTAACAAAGGTCAATTTCATATTCCTTCTTCTGAGGAGAAGTGCATTCCACTGCATTCGTTCTGCGTCAATCGAAACAAATAGCGCTTATAAGGTTGACATTCTTGTAATTTAGCTCTAAATACCAAGATAGAACCCACATTACAGTCTAAGCGTTTGGGCTTAACCCTTTCAGTGTTTTTGTCAAATATATTTGACATTTAAAAGTACTCTCTCTCTCTTTGCCATTTTTTGTTTTTCTTACGAACCATTAGTTTTGATATTTTTTAATAACAGACACGTTCGCTATTTAAAAATATTGCAGTTATATTCTATTAGTTTCGTTTTCGAATTTCTGAGCACATTTTAGTAAATTAGTACGGAATTTCAGATTTTTATCTCGACAAAAATTTTCATTGACACTGAAAGGGTTAATGTAAATTCAGTTTTTTAGACAGGCGTTTTCCCCTACAAACGCTAATTATTGACACAATCCAAATTCATTATTTTTGCCTCGCATTTCGTAATTGGAAAGTATTAAGCTTCATACATTACCAAAATGGTAGCGTTTCGTGCAAAACTACCCACCTTCTCGCCACAATCTGCCATTGAATATTGTGCACATACGCAACCATTATTGTAGGAGCCTTAATATTTTTTCTAACCCTTTTCGGAGCTTATTATTAACATACTAAACAAGTCAAATAGCTAAGTACCCATTACGAACTTTGAATACGAAATTTGAAACAATTCCGGTGAATAATGTCACATACAGACGGACGGACTGACCGGAAGACAGCATTTTACGCTGATCCAGAATATCCAGTTAAAAAGTATCTGTCGGTTTTGCCGACAGATGTATACCCTCAGCCAATGCACCATTACTTAAAAATATTTTGACTTCTTTTATGATTATTCAAATGTTTAAAACCTTCCGTTCCGAAGTTCCGAAGAACTGGGCCAATATTCGCCATTTCGTATCGGAACTAAATAAATATGATAAAAATATTGCGACGTGCCAGGTTTGGACTATATTGGTAACTTCCTTCACTTTATATGAGAAATATGATAATTTTTAGAAAATGTTAACGTGTATCTCATGCACACGTTAACAATACTTCTATAGTCGATCGAAGTATTCTAATTTAATGCTTCATCCAATACAGATAAAAATATTTTTATGGGCAATATTACAAGAAAATCGAACATTTATATCCAACTAGCTGGCTCGGTCCGCGTTGCCGGCCCGTAGTTTTTGTCTATTATGCATATTTGTCAAAGCATAATTATTCACAGATATGACTGACATAAGAGTTCACGTACTGGTCGATTAAAAGTGTATTTTACTATACCCATATTTAAGCCGTGGGCTTCAATATTTAAACCGTGAGCTTCAAATGTGTGGATGTGCTGTACAAATCTATTAAAAAGTATATATCAATCTTATCCCCATGTAAAGGATCAAATTAATTTTTAGTTTGGTAAAAATCGTAGCAAAATTTTTCAGTCAAATGAGAAAAAAAAACTGAAAAAAATTCGCGTGATTTAAATAAGTAAAAGTAGTTTTATCCACCTCATAATTGAGGGCAGAATGATTTCAGAATAGTCAACTATAATTACTATTTTACACCTATTACCATAAGATGGGAATTAATTTTATTTGCCATTTAAATCGTAAGTTGGAGGCGCTATAAAGTCCATATTTTTCATCATAGTATTATTCAATGACGAATCAGCAAATATTCGGTCCCGTGCTACTTTCTTATATTTGTAATCTGTTCATGTTTTCACAATTTATTTCATATAGATGTACATCCCAAATCTACGTTCCCAACCA